CCCCCATATTTAATTCAGGTTATATTCTGTTTCTAAAACTTCCCCCCCCCACTTATGGGTATTAAAGAGCTATGTTCCTGTTTCAAGAGAAAATAGGAAACTAAACACTTAATGTTCTATGTAATGTTGTGCCAGTCAAAGGAGAATCACTTGTTAACTGTAGGGAAAGTGAGGGGTATTTCCAAATATATGGTGGGCTGCTTAGTCTGGAAAAATAAATGAAAAACAACTTGTTGCAGGCAGTGACCCCTTCTGTGGGAGGGGAAAGGCTCAGGATTAGAAGACTTTTGCAGGTCCTTTTGTAGCTGTTTGTGGCTTTGTCCTTAAAAGGTTCTCATTAAATATCCACAGGTACTTATGCCGATCTCATTAAGCAACTCCTACTCAGCCAGAGGTGAAGAGTAATGTCTGTCTGTGTTGCTCACAGGCAGCTGATTGCTATCCTCCTTGTATAATTATTTCATTGCCTGCAGCAAACAGAGCCATTTGATGTTTTCTAAACTGTAAAATACTTTGGCTTCTTCTAGGGAAATCTCAGTTATGAAGTTAGAAGTGTCCCTGACTGTCAGCAGATCAGGAAATTAAATAGTTTCTGACAGCAAAAATCTGCTTATGCAGAGCAAAGACATCAGAGCTGGCCTTGGGACCAAGAAGGGGATGTTTCTTCTTCTGTGGCCTTCAGCATACAGACTTTGGGCTGAACCAGCTCCCTAATCAAGCTGCAGACAAAGTTTCCAGCACTTTGCAAATTGGAGTGGAACACACAGTCAGACTGCTCCTTGGGTTTGGAGCAGACAGACCTGCAGCTGTCGGGACGTGAAAGATGGAGTGTGGCCCTTCATCTGCTCCTCCTGCTGTCTCCTTTGGGCACCTGGAGGATGGGAACACCCTTATTATTGCCTTCAGCAGTGGATGTTGTGAAAGGGACCCCGAACAGTGCACTGCCCCATCTGTTGCTACCTTGTCTCTCACACCTTGCTCTGAGTCATGCTGTGCTGAGCAGAGTTAGGAGCATGCTAAGCAGGTTTGGTAAAAGGAGTAAGTTCCCCCCCTCCCCCTTTTTTTTCCACAGCAACAAGAACGTATTCTCATTTTTTTGCAAATTAACAAAGAGTTATGGTTTTCATATCCTTATTTTTTAAAAGTATATTTGTTTTGAACTAATAATTCAGCTCAAACTGAATGCAAAAGGCAAGGCGAGAGCTCCACGTTAAGGTAGGCATAAAAGTATTTGCTGTAGGGGACCCAGCTATAGGAGCCATCTGCAGTGTGATTGCTGTATTTAGGAAAAATGATCTGGTTTTGGAGGGCGTATTATACGGACAACTTGCCGGATTCTGTACCAGGACCCTGTGGCACAGCTGGAAAACTAAAAGAAATCTGAAGTGATGCCTTTATTTTGGTAAGAGAATGATTTTTCATGCATTGTTTCTCTGTCAGATTAACTGCAAAACTGTAGGAGTATCGGGAGGGTGTCCTGTAGTCCTCACAGCTGTCCTGTGTCCCGTTTTATTGTCAGCTCCTGACAGTTGGATTTATAATTGAATGCCTGGAAAATCTCATTCCATGTCCAACAGGTGGAAGCACCCTTCCCCAAATTCCTCCGTGGCTCTTGGGAGCCACGTCAATCAAGGAAAGGGGGGAGGGAGTCTGGGAGGCTCGCACTGATCTTTCAGTTGCAGTAGCCAGCTGCCCCTTTCTAATTTTAGAAGGGGTGTGCAAGAGTAGTGTGGAGTGGAAAACTTTCCAAACCTCTCTCTTAAAGCTGCAATAACTGAGTTAGTGAAAGATGAGAATGTGGCTCTTTACTTTTAACTTACTCTCTGTCTCCATCCACCACTTGGAGTGCTCAGGCAGCGCTGGCTGTGGTTACCTCTGTTGCTCTGCACTTTAGCGAGCTCATCAAGCTGGATGTGTTCGATTCCTCCTTTCAGCTGTGGCTCTTTGCAGGTAAAAGGTTTCTTTATTTCTAATTTTAGAGAATTTCACAAGACTGCATTTTCTGTAAGAATGTCTTTCTCCTGCGATGTTTGTCTAGTCAGAGCTCTTTGCTGGGGAATCTTTGAAAAAGTAACCTAAAGTCTTACAATTAAGCTCCACTGGCAGATACAGAGAATAAACAGAAGCAAAACCAGTATACAAACATTCCCTTTTAATTTTGACCGACGGAAATGAAATTATTTCCATGTCTGAGAAAATCCTAATGTGATGCCTTGCTTGCCTGAAGATGAGGGGGAGCGTGAAACTAGACTAACTGCTTCCAAGCAGAAAAGAGAAACTATGTTTAAAAGCATAATTAAAGAGGCAGTGCATTACGAAAGTGCTGAATAATTTAAATGGGCTGCCAGTCCAGCAATATTAAGCAGTAAATTTAAGCAAACACTATGTGATGATGGGGAATTTAATCATTTAATTTGCCCTAG